CCTCCCATTCTACTTTTAAATACTCTAGGAACAACAAGTAGGCCTGCAGAGCGAGAGCGAAGTGCTCTAATAGGGTGATATGGTACTATGAAATAAATGTAATTATTTATTTATTATTTATGGGATTCAAATTTTAATCTGAATTTAACAGCGAGCCACTATAAGGGAGAAATCAAATCAAAATATGGCACATGGACTCGACAGTCTCAAACCCCACTGACACTGGATTATTGCGTTAAACCTGCAGAAAGGGTCTGTATCCTACACCTTTGGGGAAGGTACAACTACCTCATTGGCAAATGCGATACGTGTGTTTGGCAGTAATGTTGATTAGATCAAGGCTGATAACTTGGTATGAGATATTATCCTTTATGCTTAAAGAAGAGGCTTCGCACATGAGCGCACGAGTACAAATACAGACAAATGCAGACAATGTTAGTGTGGATGAAAGCTCCCAAATAGACCGCTGATTCTCACTGAAGATGTTAAACCTTCATTCTATCCCCTCAGCCTCCTCGTAGATGCACATTTGGTGCAAATTTGTTCTTCAGAAAGCTTGACCTCTGACCTCTAGGTCACTGATTTTCAGTGGATACACCTGTGGTGTGAATTCAAAAGTCTTGGCTCACCTCATTTTCAAGTTACTGCATTCACAAACTTGGGCGATGCTGCCTCAGGCTGAGTGGTAAAATGATATATGGTGACCTCCAAGAAGTTAGTGAATAACAAGAGCGGGATTTCTAACTTGAGCCACGGATTGCTGCATGCAGAGGTGAAGTGGCCTACAGTGTTTTCAGCAGAATCACTGCAGTGTGAAACCAGCCTAACTGATTTGGATGTGTGAAAAAGTCCCGTCTGATTAGACTTCTCTGCTCCTCTCAGGAAGAGCCTCAGGCTTTGACAGCGTGCTTCCCTCTGGCTCGGACATCGCTCAGTTCAAACAGGGAGTCAAGACCGTTGCGGGAAAGATGGCTGTCCTCGCCAATGGTGTCATGAACACGATCCAGGTGAGACTGGTCCACGAGACAGCGGCTTTTTTTCACTTGAATCCATAAGTTTGCTCATGCTTCTCCTTGTTTTTGTGTTTATTCCCTCCTCAGGACCGCTACGGCTCCTACTGAGCAGCATCGCCCGGTGGACTAACACCTGTGGAGCCAGACAGCCTCTTGACTGACACGTGCATTTGGATGGAGACAAGGGACGAGACATGGACAGCAGAAAGTATTGCATGGGAAAAGAAATGTCCGTCGCGTCCGTCCTCCATTATTGACCGTTTGAGACAGTGTTTTCTTCTCTCATTCTCATTAGCAGACTCTTGAAGTTTGATGTTCACGAGCCGAGCGTCACAGGTTCTATTCTTTTCTAAACCAGAGTTTTGTTGTAATTTACTGTTTGGATACTTTGGTCTTAGATTTTCAAAATGTTGTCAGAGTTCATTCTGCTTTATTTTATTCCTTTGCAGAAGTTGTTTATTTCCATTCATATAATCAAACATGTCATGCTAGTTTTTGTTTTATTGTGAGATTTAAAAAAGAGGCAGTATATATATTTTAGTGTTATTTGAACAACAGTGCTGCTCACTTACGGTGGCACTTGTCCACAGTTTGTTTATAAAGCACTGACTGATTTTCAGCTCTTTGAGTTTGGATTTATGCATTTCTGTCTGCGTGAAACATGGAAGCATCACATTTTTGATGTGCACGTTGCTATGGTTACATGCTGTGTTTGTGCAGCAGTAAATCCATCATTCCCTATAACAAACTTCCAGCGTCCAATACTGGGAATAAGGGAGGGTTAAATCCAACTCCAATAAGCACTGCAGACAGAATATGCTGTCCCCGCTCAAAACTATAATACTGTATTGACTATGCATCTCCACTCTGCAACCTTCAGCTGTTTCACTTGTTTTGTTGAATCTGAAGTCTGCCTTGATTTATCCTCAGTGCTTTGATTTTTGGAAAGCTTTTATCTTTTAAGTTCACATATTCAGTTTTAAATAGAAAAATTATCCTCGCATTAACAATGTGAATACAATAGTATTTAACTCGAGGCAAGGAATTCTCTCTAAATTTCACTGCCATGTACGATGCAGTTAAACACAGTGAACGTGAAAATCCACCACGCTTGTTCGTATCCCATCTCGTCTCGTGTGTTCAGGGCAGACTTTACGTTCAACACGTTTTGGAAATTGGATAAAATTCGAAAGTAGTTATTTTCTTTTCTTTTTTTTTTCCTCTCTCGTGCATCAAAGTGTAATTTTGATCACCCCGTGTGTGCGCCCTTCCCATGGTAAAAATGTGGGGCGATAGGATGAAACATTCAAAACTATTTATTTGTAGGTTACAAAAAGAAACAGTTAATAAAGATCAAAAACCTCTTTGTTTTCACTGATGTCAACTTTCTCACAAACACCCAAACCTGTGGTTGCTGTCGCACTAGATTTTACTCTGTGCAACATTCACACATTTGTATATAAAAGCAGACTTTTTAAATGATCCAAAAGTGGGGAAAAAAGTGGGGACGCCCCACAGATTTTAATGCAAAGAAACTGAAGTCAGTCTTTGAGCTATTTCAGTCCGGCAACTCAAACTCTGCAGCAGGCTGTAAACATGCAGTTTGGACCGGACAGCCTGGTTCTGCGTTTGGTGTCTTCCAGTTAAAACTGAGTACTTCCTTCCTCACAGGGAGCTGTGTGATTGAACTTTCTAACATTGTAGGTGCTTCAGTATCAAACACTCAGGTGAGTTGGTGCTATATAAATAAACCTGAATTAAACTGAACTGGTTCTGGTACAAGTGATTTAGCTCCCATCTTCCAGCCCTGGAGGTTATTGTTTGGTGGGAACATAATTACTATACTGTGGATATCTTTCAATATGAAGCCCCTCCATTGTGTTTGTGGAAAATCTGAAGACCAGAACAGACGTCTGTTGTTCAATGCAAGGTTTATGCTGTTGTATTACAAGCTCTAAGCCTTATAATTGTTTTTAAACTACTGTTGCTTCAGCTCATCCTTAGCGTACGTGTTTGTTAGCTGACTGTTACTATTAATCACAGTTTGATTCAAATGTTATAAATAATCAAATTTCATCACTGTTCAACTGATATCTGTCCATGTAATTAATCATCCACATTTCACCTCATTACAACAGGGTTGACTTTCTTTTCGCTGCTGAATTTATCGTCTGTGGTTTTCTTCCAAAGTGTTTCTTCAGTGTTTGTTTTTAAATCTAAAAGGTAAAAAAAAAGCTGGAATAATTTAGATTTGGGATTTTAATGTTGATTTGAAAAAAATAAAAAAGACCACAAGAAACAGGAAAAAGTGCAGCTAACCTCAGACTAACCTGTCAGTCGGTTATTTAACTGTAATTTTGAGCATTTGGAAATCTATAAATTATAAAGGCAAGAACAATAGTAACAAATGATATTTGTGCATGCAGACTGTTAGCAAATGAATGTGGGCCACAGATTACACATCTTTGATTTCATGTATTATGAAGACATGGTTTGCTTTAACCTGTATAACGTGTAGGCTCACTGTATTTACATGGGTCACCTTCCTCTGCAGCGAGCTGCTGAAATAAATCATCTGTTATTGACAGATAAAGCAGTGCAATGATGGACGGAGTTCACAGAGAGATTCTGCTATAAATCAGGCTCATAGTGTGTCTACACTGCAAAGATTTAGGACAGATTTTGTGTGCCAAAAAACTTGCTGAGTGCTGGGATTTTAATTATAATGACTGTAATGATTTCATTTTTGTCCCTCACTGCAGGCCAGTCATTCCCAATCATTTTCTCTGATTTCTGAGGAATTATTGCAAGAGTCTGTGTCTCTGTTCCATCCTGGCAACTGATGGTTCCTTTGTGCAGTTTCTCCAGCTGATTAGCAAACGTCAAAGATCCGAGTGCAGGTTTTAGCCCCAGTTGTAGAAGTAGATCTTCTGCCAGGTGGGGAGATAATCCATCAAGGGACCTGAACACAGACAACACAATCAAACCCAGCACTAACAGTTCATGAAGTCATGTATCATATGGTGGAACAACAGTGCCAAAAAAACAAGAAAAAAAAAAGATCTCTCTCCATATATACATGTATATGTACATGTATATATGCAGGAAGGAGTGTGTTGCTACAAAAATGGAGAGAGACAGACCATCATAACTCTTAGGTCTGTCCTACAGAGAAATTGCAAAGAAAGTAAAGGTGTCAGTGAGTACAGTTTCCTCCTTCTGCACTCAGAAACAAACTGTGACAGGAAGTGGTCTGCAGACTCAAAGACACGACTGAATCAGAGGACAAGTTTCTGTGATCGATGGCTCACAGGACAACAGCTTCATCACAGCTTAATAGAGGTCGTAGTAAGAAAGTCTCAGTTTCAACTGTGAAGACTTTGAGCTGCAGGTTTGACAGGACGAGTTGCAGCAATATAATTAAAAAAATAAATTTAAAAACAGGCCTGGGAGCGTGAGGGACTGCGCTCTTCTGGACTCTTTCTTAATAATAAACTCTGCCTGTGATAAGTAATGTGACTGTACGTTTTAGAAAAAAAATAACAAATAAAACTGAATTATCATATCATATGTATAACACTGTAATAATGTATCCCAGGTTTTCCATTTTCAGGTTTACCTGTGAAAAGTAATATCTCATAAAACGTTACAGTATTAGAAACAAAACTGAGGACAACCTCTAAAGAAAGCAGCTGAAAGAAGAGAACATATATATGATAATGTGATTACAGTGGTTTTTGAGAGAAGATGGTATTAGAGATAAAGTCAGATGGATCATCTGTGGCAAGAATAAGATAGATATGATAATGTAGTTTCAGTGGATTTTTAGTGTCGATGCACATTCACGTGACTTTCAAATGAAGTGGATTCTCCCACATGTTAACTCAAGGTTCATACACTTTTTTCAGGGTCAAATTCAAGCACTGTTTAAGCACTTTCATGGTCCATTTTCAAGCTTTTCCAGCACACTTCATATAAACTTAAAACACACATTTCACTTAAAAATTAATATGTGCAAATGTGAACTAATCAACTTGTTAGAGATATTCATCTCCTACTGAAAAAACAAGCCCACAAAACAAGAAAACTGCACCAAACATGACAAAATGATGCACATTAAGGCCAAATTAATAAGTCTTCTCATCAGATATCGATGAGAAGATATCGATAATCTCAGCCAAACCGATTTACTCAGGAACAAATAAAATACTGAAAAAAGCCAAACAATAACATTTTGAAGTTATCTAAGTGACTTATATATGTTTAACCTG